GTTTTCAGGGTACGTGTCTTACATGTATTTTGCTAATCCTACGTATCTGGTATGATACATTTGAAAGTGGAATTTAGGCAACTTTCCCAATTCAGTACTATCAAATGAAGAAAAGAAGACAATAGAGATTTTTATTCTTAGACAAGGGAAAGTAAAGAAGAAAGGGAGGGAAGGAGGGAGCGAAGAGATTTCTCTTGAACTATGGGAAGCAAGCCGCTGCTAAACTACCTCCCGGATAGCTTCACTGCCAAAGCTGTCAACATTTTCCACTGTGGCTTCTGAAACAGACACTGATTATAAACCAGGCCTCCAGTACACTGAAGCTCTACTTCTGACAGAAAGGAAACCCTAGCCCTCATCAAGGACACTTGCAGCCTTAAGGCGGGAAAGTCAACTGTTCCCCTAGATTACATGGGATCCTACCTTTCTCAGGCAAATCTTTTTTCTCCTCTTTGAGGCTCAAAACTAAAAAGCAGTATCACCATCCATCCACACTATGTGTCTGCTGCTGTGTAACATGCATCATACTACGTAAAAGGCAAAACTAGAAAATCCTCCTAGAGGTCAAAATCTAATGAGACAATAGGAAACAATTGCAAAAACCAGTAACTGCTGATCATGAAGGAAGAGCACAGGAAGATATATAGGAGAAAAAATGATTTAACCCGGTCAAGAATGACACAAAAAATATTGAAAACTGAGAATAGGAAGGAAGGAAGGAAGGAAGGAAGGAAGGAAGGAAGGAAGGAAGGAAGGAAGAGAGGGAGGGAAGGAGGGAAGTAGGGAGGGAGGAGCTTGGTTGTCAAGGTAGTAAAGTACAAGTAGTTATAGGTGCTGGGGAGGACAGCACAAGGGGGTGGAGGGCAGGCCCAGGTCAAGTAGGGTTTGAGGTCCACACTGAGGACTTTGGGTTTTATTGTAAGTGCAATCAGAACTTTGGATAGAATTTTAAAGTTCATTCCTTATCAAAGTCATCTATCAGCTCCTTTTAACTAAGATGTGTTTTCTTTTGCCTCACTCTAATTCCAGAGAGCTTCGCCCTCCGGCACTTCTTTTTTTTTATTTTTCGTGGTACTGGGACTTGAACTCAGAATCTTGCACTTACCAGGCAAGCACTTATTCTACTGATCTATCTCCCCAGCCTAACCTCCAGCACTTCTCGACTACTCAATGTCCTGGCCTCCACAGATCTTCACTTGCCTTGCTAGTAGATACCCCTTCATTGTTCAACCCCTTCCCCTCCAAAAATCAAATTCCAGTATTTCATTCTTGGACTATAATTTCTCAATGATCCCACTCCTCTCCCATTCCCTCACACCTAGCACACCTACCTTCTGACCTTTAAAATATTTATGTGATTAGAAAAAAAAAATTGCTACACAAGGAGTTAAATTTCATCAGAGTAAGTGAAGTAAAATAAAAGTACACACAGGAGAAATTATTACTCTTTTTCTCACTCCCACAAAAGCATGTACGTACTTGTATGTTCTTTCATGCACATATCAACAGATGTGGGCTTACGCACACAGATATTTCTAATTATGAAAGTGAATCACACTGAACACATCATTTTGTGACTGTTTTTCACCTAAGAATAAAAACCATGAATAAATAACAAGCCAGCAGACACAACAAACTCATTCTTTAAGTTGCTACACATCTTACCAACTGCAGCTCACACCTGTGGCGCACCTCCAAGGAGGATTCATGTGCTATTTGTTGTGCCCAACCTGCTGACCTGAGAAAACTTGAGAGGGGCTCTCAAACAACCTGCTTCCAGGGTTGATAGTGGGGAAAGAATTGTTGCTCGAAAGAGTCAAGGAGTGAAACAGTCCCTCACTAGAAACCCAGCGGATGGTCACAGGCCCCCCAGGCCCATGAGAATAGAGGTCATCACAACTTCAGCACTTAGTTTGCTACTGCTTAGCAGATGTGCAGAGCAGGCTGTTGGCAGGTGCTCAGGAACCGCAGTCCTGAGTAGGCAAGGAAAATTGAAACTCATTAATGGAACTTGGAAGAAAAGATGGCCAGCAGAACAGAAATAAGAGATGCCTACTGAAGTAGAACCAATGGAAGAGACAGAAGAGAATTTTAATGAAAATATAATGGAATTAAGAACTAAAAAAACCCAACCAGACTTTCAGGACCTAAAAAAAAAGCACAGGAGTTTTTAATTAAAAATTCAACATTCCAGCAGAAAAAGAGAATGATTGGCCTTAAAAACCACACTAGTGGTCAGAAAAATCAGGTTGAAGAAATCCGTCACAAGAAACACAGTAACAGATGCCCTGCTGAAAAAGGCTGTGCCTTATGCAGACCATATCTAGGAGGAAGGAAGGAAGGAAGAAGCAATAATAATAACACAGATAATGGAAGAAATCTTTCTTAATAAGTCTTGAGGCCCTAACTACCAAGAATCAAGGGAAAATGCAGCAAACCTATTGGAGCTATGGGAAACAAGCTTCCCAGGATGGTGGAAAGCTGGAAGCAGAAATACCTAGTGTTCAGGACACTGACTATGGCCCCGGCAAGCAATGAAGCCTCAATGCTTCACATAGGAACAGGAAGCGCAGAAGCAGCTAAACTTCTTCTGTCACGTTGTGTCACACTTAAGTAACTATCAACCTTAAGGACTTTATAGTATGCTTATCTCAAACACTGTGGGCACCAATTTTTAAAAGGCATAGTCATAACTTACATTAATGAAAATAAAACCTTTAAAATATAAAGAGAAAGCAATGGGCCAGGGAGATAGCTCAGTAGAATAAGCACTTGCCTGGCAAGCACAAGGTCCTGAGTTCAATCCCTGGTGCCACACACAAAAAAAGCATTAATAAATGAGACAAGTGCATTACTATCAAAAGAAAGTATTACCTTATGAAATGAATACAAAGGTAATAGGGTCATAGTGAAGAGCAGAGAATGCAGATGTGGAACCTGGGTCAACTTGTTTTACCTTCAATACATTCACAACTGGGGCATAATTCGCCTGTCTTGCTATTGGGAAGCTCTGACAGTACATGCATGACTGTCCCATTGGGAGGCAAAGGGCAGTCGCATTAGGTGGTACAAGACACCAAAGTGACATTCATGTAGTACCATCAGGGGCATAAACCACAGGGAATGTATTAAATGTGTCAGTTTCCTGAAAAGTGAGTTGACATAAGTACAGTACATATATATGTATCACATCCACACTGCCCCTGCCATGGCCACTGCTACACCTGGAAGACATCACTGCATGCAGAACTTTAATTTTGGAATCAGAAGACTTGAGTTCAAATGTTAATTTTAACACTTAAGTTTTAGACTGTGGTCCTGGTAGTTAGTTCCTCTGTGCTTTACAATCTTTTCACATTGAGGGGCTGGGGAGATAGCTCGGCTGCATAAGTGCCTGCCTGGCAAGCGCAAAGATCCGAGTTCAATACCTAGTACCAAAAAAAATAAAAAAAAAAAGACCTTTTCACATTGAAAAGAATGAGTACCTGTTTCACAACACCCATCCATTTACCGATCTACAAACATCAACTTGGCATCACTTTATATCAAGGATTACAAAGGGTTGAGACATAAAAATGAGTAAGACACAGTTCTGCAGATCATTCTGGCAGAAAATACATGTCTTTCATGAGTGTAGATCTTAAGGCTCCTTCTGCTTCAGAATTAAGAATGGATCTCATGGATGAAATATTCTTCTAGTACCACAGTACTATGGTTTTTTAAAAAGGCAATATTTAATTTAGCTAGCAATTTTTACACAAAAGTGGATAGTTTCTGTTACTCTTATGTCTTGCTATTTTGAGAAAAAATACTGTTATGGTTTGTGTTTAGCTGTCCCCCGAAAGCCTCATGTAGTCATGGGGTGGGGACTTCTAAAGTTTGAGATTAACTCATGATCCACTGGGATTATGGGTCTTAGTATGTTGGGATTATGGGTCATTGTACTGTTAGGATTATGGATATGAGTATTACTCCCAGCCTGGTGCAATAGTCTGAATGCAATGTAAGAGAGACAGAGAGACAGACTCTCTCTGTTGCCATTGTTGCTACTACTCCTCCCTTGGTTCCTCTTGCCCTTTGCTGCCACCATGAAAGGTTGCTCTGCCATGTGCCGCTCTGCCTTAGAGCCAGCTGAGTATGAACTAAAAGCTCCAGTAACTGTAAGATAAATGAACCTTTCCTTCCTTCATTTTGACTGTCAGGTATTTGTCCCAGCAATGAGAGAAGAGTAACTGTGACAAATACTATGAGGCATCTGGGCCACCAGGAAGTCAGCCCCTATGAACGAGATGGCAGCCTCCACAGTGAAGGAACAAGAGGGAAGCTGGCCCCAGTTTCTGATCAGAGACGATGAAGTACCCTGGTTGGAGAGACAGCACTCTTTGTTCATGGGCGGGGACTGTGTAGTGCACAGTCTGCGCCTCGGAACGATCTTTTAAGACCCACACATTCCTGTGAATAAACAGCTCTAAAGTCATTGTCCAGAAGGAGTCGCCGCCAGCTGATCCCTTGGAGCCACATCCATCCCTCACAGAGCATCCTGCCCTGGCACACAGCGCTGGAGATTACAGGAAACGATTCCTGGTTTCTCTGCCACTTTATCCCAAAAAGAAAGACCTTATCCCAAAGCTTGCGGGTATTAAGAGTGCTGATCTTGACTATCCCATGTGAGTCACCCCGAGAGGGGCAGGACAAGCTGTTCTCCTTTAATATGCAGAGGCTTTATGATGTCCACAACAGCATCTGATGACCCCTTATACATAATGAATGAAGAAGCTGTAAATTCATAAGAGAGTCTGACTCTCTATTCTTATAGAAACACTGCAGGTCAATGCATTTGTCACCATCAATCAGCACTGCATAGCTTTTACTTAAAATTTTATGTTTAAAATCTAACAAAGTATAAAGGCAACTCAGCATACGATTAAGTATCTTGATACATTTGGTATCTTAGGAAGTATGTACTACACCAATATTAAAAATTAAAATTCAGAATATTTTCTTTTATTACATTTATATAACACCACAACATAAGACAATTATATATATTATTTTGAAATCATGTACTTGACTCATAATTAGCCTAGGTTATTAAAAATTCATTTGAGTGGTAGCTGTAGACAACCCAAAGAATGATTCTGACTTGCATGTACATGTGATAAAAAATTCTAAAACTCCAATATATTTTTCAAGAGCTAAATGAGAATTCTCCAGCAAAAAAGAATATTAATAGCTGTCATGTTGTAAAGTTTTGATTATATAATAAGTTATGTTTCAAACGTCTTTACAGAAAAATACTAACACTACTACCTATAAATCATAAAGTATAACAACCAGTAGTGTTTTTTTAACTAATCATATTTTAGACTTATTAAAAGCCTATGCTTATAGAAAATAAATTCAACAATTTATCCAAACATTGTTACATAAGACGTTTTAAGAAACTGTAAATAATTCTTAATACTCTCATTCTGATTCTCCGACTTCTCAAGACTATGTTGTATTTCTTTCAAACACACTTCCTGATGCTGTGCTTTCTGCATAAAAGAAGAGAAATACAATCAATAGTAGCAAATCAAAGAATAAGAATTACAGTATAAAATATATAGGCAATAGGTGAATACGTTATTTTTAATTTTTTAAAAGAATCCTTTCTTTGTTTTTTTATTTTTTACTTCATTTATTTATTTATTTGATGTATTTGGTACCAGGGTCTCATTATGCAGCTCATACTCATAGTGGTCCTGTTTTCGGCCTCCCCAGCACTGGGATTCAGGTGTAGGCCACCACGCCCAGTGTCAGTGGCAGGCTCAGCGTACCTGGGGGCGGGGCCAGCGCAGCACGCGGTGCTGGGGATCCAACCTCAGTCTCTGCCTTGCCTAAGCAGGCGCTTAGTCTACTGAGCTATATTACTAGCTCTTATTAACTTACCTTAAATCTCACTTTTCTTTAAAACTAACTGTCCTAATTAGTTTCCATTACAGTTAATATACCATAATTTCATACAAACTTTTGTGCTTTTCTCTGCCAAAAAAATTCTTATTTTATTCCACAAGGGTGATCTCTGTTGTCTTAAAAACTAATAGAATTCCAGTTTTAATAACATAAACATTTTACTTTTAACGTCCTTTAAAAAATAAAAGCCCAATATTATAGATATCCTCTGGGGGAAAAAAAAATTAAAACCCATACTTTGGGCCGGAGATATAGCTCAGCAGCACCGCAGCTGACTGGCAAGCACAAAGTACTGAGCTCAATTCCCAGTACCAAAAAAAATCTAAAAAACCCCATACTTTAACATCAGTTGCAAATAAATCTCTAAGTAGATCAGGTCAGCGAAATGCTTTAGAGAAAGGATATGCAAATACCATCTAGCTTCCATCCTCTTGAGGAGCCAGATCCTTTCTGTCCCTCACAGCACGTGCTCAACAATAGCTGTTACTTTATGAAACTGAGGACAACCCTCGCCCCTCCCCAGAAGCGGGCGGGATGAGCCAATGAGCCAGAGCTGCCTCGCAAGGACGCAGAACGAATACAGCGGATCCCTACGGAGCATTAGTCTTAACCATCTGGAGAGATAGCAACAGAAAGTTGGGAAGAATGTAAAATGCGAACAGATTCTTGGGACAAAACATAAAGCTTCAAAAACATTCAGGGTTTCAGGAAGGTTGCCCTGGCTTAATCTGATAATCTGATAAGGTTACCCATGAGTCTGCGCACCTGTTCAGTACAGTACTCGGTCAGGGGAGCAGAGCACCGAGGAAAACATCAGGATCAAAGTCAATTATCAGACAGCCTCTTTGAGTTCTTACAGCTCAGCTGGTGCTAAGGCATGTACAGCAAATACAGTACTTAAGTGTACACTGAACTGTCCACTGAAAGGCATGGAACACAAACTCATTTCTCAGATATTTTAAAGTCTATACTTAGAATTCTAGAATTTTACTGATGTACAAGTTATCAAAATAATCAAGCTTAATGTCAGACAGTATCAGAAACTCTGACAGTGTGCTTTAAAAGTTTAGAACTAAAGAGAAGACCTACGCTATGCAATAAATGCTTTCTTATTTAGTTACTATATATATTATACCTAGTTAGATAGCCAGCTAGCTAGCTCCCTGCTCCCTCTCCAGGGCTGGGGCTTCTGCACTGAGCTGTATCCTCAGCTCTTCCTTGATCCTTCAACTGTTGAGAAAGAGTCTCACTGAGTTACCAAGTTGCCTGGGATGCGCCAGAAATGCGATTCTCCTGTCTCAGTCTCCCAGAACGCTGGGATTTCAGGCATGCACCACCGCAACCTGGCTAGTACTCATGAAATTTCTGATGACAGTAAAATTAAACGGTGTATGCCAAAATCATTTAACATTTGAGCCTTTTGGGTTTTCAGCTTAGAAACTTGGGAATGAAAAAGAGTTTTCATGGAGTCTCTAGCTGGAAAATAAAGTATCATTATTCTCTATGTCATTACAAGTACATAGCTATTAAGTAATTTAATCACCACTAATGCTAGCTTCCAGAGTATCTTAGGCCAACTATTTCATGAATATTCAGGAAAAAAACATCAGAAGGCTAATTAAATACAGCCAATTTGTCATTCTCATTTCATGGCTGAGAGGATCAAAGCATTCATCTCGCATGCAGATTTAACAATACTGAATATTTACTTACCACCAAATTATATCAAAGATATATATTCATTATTCAAGATAGATATAAAAACCTAACTAATAGTCAAAATTATGTTTATCTTTAAAAGCTGAAAAATTCAGACCATGAAGAAAATAAGTAGCTTACAGTCATAATTTTCACTCAGCAACTGTCATGCAAAAGTTATATTTGTCAGGCAGGGAAGCGGCTGAGGAGATCTGGAGGAGCGTAATATGTGCCACAGGAAAGTGGGATAATAAATTCTTCAGCAGGATCCTGACATTTACACTTTTATGTCTCATATTCTCTATTCTGGTGGTAAAACCAATAGGCTTGATTCTCCTCAGTTTGTACTTCAACTAAACTACAAGGCGTGAAGGTTAAATGTTACTCGCTGTTAGGATTATATATTAAACTATACTAATACTTACAGAGTTCATTTTGCAAACAAGTTGGTTTTGTTCTTCATTCCTCTTTCTAAGCTCAGTTTCCAGGTCTGATATTTTAACTTGTAGAGCCCTCTCTCTAGATGACATTTTCTCTATTTCTTCAGAAACCTGTAATTTTTATTAAGAGAGTAAAATAATTAAATGTGCGTTCTTAAAGCCTTGGCATACAGCTTAAAGCCTTGGCATATTCACACTGTACTTTTTGTCCCAAATAAATATTAAACAGATGTTTCACAATGGAAATATTTGAAACTATTCTACCTCAAAGAAGCACAAATAGTGTAAATATGTACATTTGTCTTTATAGTGTAAATATCCAAAAAATTAGCTGAAGATGACAGAGGTATACACACCTTCACTGCTTTGCGAGTTAGGGTTTTCCCCCAACATATATTGGAATACACTGTAACAAACTGCCTTGTTCAATGCTACTTATATTTATCATGGTGTCTAGAGTGGTAGTAGAACACTAAAATTTGCTGTTGAATACTGACTATACATTTGGATAGATAGCATGATGCACATACTACACACACACACACACACACACACACACACACACACACACACTCAGATTGGCTTTTTACTCATTCATTTCCCAAGTGGCCTAAATTTGAATTTTCATATTCGTCTCTTTATTTTAACAGAAAGTCTCATTCAGTTGCAGTCTACAAGGATCAGAGCACATGGGAGCCTACCTGTGAGAAAGCTGGGTTAGGGCCACAAGGACGCTAGCAGAGGCTGTGACTAACCCAGGAACAGGAACTAGTGGGAAAGACGACTGTGCCTTCTTTGGACTCAGTTCTAAGTATTCTAAGGTGATTTATTATTATTATTATTATTATTATTATTATTATTAATGTATTTAGTACATGGTCTGTAGGGTCTCACTGCACAGATCAGACTGGTAGTGATCCTCCTGTTTTCAGCCTCCTAAGTGCTGGGATTACAGAAGTGCATCACCACGCCCAGCCTCAATTGCTGTCTCAGTACGCCCTGGGGGCGGGACCAGCACAGAACGCTCGGGATTGAACCCAGCTGCTGTACCTGCCTAAGCAGGTGCTTTAGTCCGCTGAGCTATCTGGCCGGCCCTCCTAAGGTGATTTATAAAGATTTCTTCTGCGTAGTTTGTCAAAGGTGACTGCGAGTGATGTATGCCAGCAGGACCTAAGTTGTTGGGAAAAGGGATCCCAGGAAGTCATCCACACCCAGGATGCCACCCCAGTGTGCACAGCAGAGAGGGAGTGGTGAGAGGCCCATGCTCTGCTGCAGTGGGAGAGAAAGCACAGGAGCCCTGGCTCTGCCACCTTTGGGTTCTTTGGGGAAGGAACCTGAGTGTTCTTTTAATTTCAAAGTCCACTACGAAATGGTCCTTTATTCATATCCCCCTTTTTTGTTTTATTTTGTCAGAGATGAGTGCTCCGTTGTTGTTAGAGAAGCTGTATCTGGAGAAATCTTTAAAGGACCTTTCATACTTGATGCTAGTTCAAGTATTATAGGTACTTGAATTCAGCAAAATAACCAATAGAGTTCAATAGTCCATAATAGTAGTGGGTTATCAGCAGAAGTTGCTGACTTGAGCATTTTACAGCTCAGCATATTAATATGGCTTTACTTTTTAATACCTTGTGGTTATACTTTTCTGCTGAATGGTTAAGACCAAGTTAAAGCAAGACCTATATAAGTAAAAATATAACTTTTGAATCTGACAAGGTCAGTAAAATCCCCTCAGGATTTAGCCTGGAACCATGTACAGCACCTTGTAGATCTTTTGTCAGTGTTAGCCATCTGGATGAGTCATGGCCCTTACTTGACCAATTTGCTCTCTGTGAAAGCCTGAGAGAATGTTTTCTCTCTAAGTGACTTTCCTTAGGCACACAATATATCGTCAACCACCTTCCTTTGTGACCCCATAATCTCCTTGATCAGAAAATTTAGGACACCATTGAGTTACAAGATGTCACAGCACAGCTTCTCTTATGTCCTGAGTCCTCACTGACCTTGAAGAGCTAGGGCCAAAATATTGGCTATCCTTGTAGCCCTTCTTTTTCTCTAATTTTTGGTCTGTAAACTTTAGTTGTTAAACATCCAGAAGAGATATTTAATGATATTATTACCCTGTAACAGAGGCAGTTGAGCTTAACATCACTACCTGTCTGAATATCAAATGCCTTAGACATAACATGGAACTGCTATTTTCCAACAACCATTGATATTCTAAACTTTAAATCCCTATATAATGTAAAAAAAAGCAATTACACATTTTTACACAAATTTAGAAATCAAACCATATACAGCATTGTAGCAGGACAGTCCTGTGACATTTTTTTCTTGTCTCTAGTTTTCTTTTATTACCTTTTTTTTTAACAAACATTTACTGTAAAGAGAGTATAGCAATAATTGATATGACATTAGAAGTAGTATGCATTTAGAAGACCAAAATGACAGGTATTTCAAGCATGGTTTTAGTATTACACATTTCTATCCTCAGTTTAATTGCTTAGTTCACAGATATCAGCAGCATATAGTTAGTCAGGGTGAGAATTCTACCCATTAACTGCTATTTTCAAAAACCTGATAGAGACTCTTAGGGCTATTGCTTTAATCATCTTGAGATATATATATATATATATATATATATATATATATATATATATCTCAAAAAAATAGTTACAATATATATACAGCTACCTTCTATTAGTTCAATGAGAACAAAGGTTTGAACTAATATTGTTTAGACAAGATATCATGTCTGCATCTTGTCCTCTGAACAACTACTATGAAGATAACAACATGCAATGTATTAATTATTGTAACTGTCCTACTAATCTGTTTTGAAACTGTTTCAATTGTTATTTTTTTCTCACTAAAATGAATAAAATTAAAAAAGAAAATCAATTAAGTAGAATAATTATAACAATATTCTGTAATAAATTTATGAGAATTTAAAAAAAAAAAAACCTCCACGCAAGCTCAACTTCAGGTAAAATTCACCTCTTATTTTTCTCCTCAAAATTGGTGGGGCCAAAAAGTCTATACTCCATTTCTAACATTGGAAATACACTTATTGAACTTTTATTTAATGGTGTATCTCTAAATGTCTACATACATTAGTTGCCCGAAGTCTAAAAAAATCAAAATATATATGTGACACTTGTGATGTAAGAGTCACTTCTCACGGATATCAGACTTTACTTTTCATAAAATTAACAGTAATAATTTCATTAAAGCCCACAGAAGAGGGCTTAGAAAGAAAACTCCAGGAGTTGGTTTTAGAATCTTAAGTCTGAGATACCTCTTTAAGTGGACATGCATGTAGTAGAGCATGAGTCTGGATGGAGATGACATCTGAGGCATCAGTACAGATGATGGTTTTTAGTGTCATTTGTCCAGTGAGAAAACTTATCATCCACTTACTCAAATGAAAAAACTTACAAAGTTCACAGGAATAATCTGCCCTGGGGCAGTATACCACGTGTCAGAGCCAGAATTCAAATCCAGTTCTTGCTGGACTCCAAAGCCCACTTTACAACCTTTCCTGAGTAGAGTTGCGAACTGTCAGATCAGTTACGCCCCCACGGAGGTCTCGCTGAGTCACTTTCCTTCACCTCCATCTTAGATAACTACTAAGATGCGCCTTGGAAGAAACACTCTTGGTTGTCCCTCTACACGTGGATGACATTTGCTTCTTCCCACATTCCTTCTTATTGCACAGGAAGTGGTGCAAAATTGAGGACTTTTTATCCTGGCCTTTCAAACAGTGCTGGAAGGCCTGACACGCAAGGAGGCATTGAGTTGGGCTCAAAACTAACCTCATGGGTTAAACTGGAATTTAATTCTTGCATGTATTTATTTGTGCAACAAAATTGTCAGAAAGAACTTGAGCTTTGCAGTTTAGTAAATTCTGATCAAATCCAAAATCTGTACTTACATGCACATTCTACTTTTTTTCAAAAAAAAGGGGGGGGGGCGGGGTCAGGGCCTGGAGAGATAGCTCAGCGGTTTAAAACTCCTACTTAGGCAAGCTTAGGTAAAGTGCAGGAACTGCAGTTCGATCCCTGACACCACATGCTGTGCCAGCCCTGCCCCCAGGGTGGGCTGAGCTGGTCACAAAAAAGGTGGGGGAGGTCAATGAGGAGGTTCCATCTTCCCAGCATTTTCCATTTCTGCCTTCACTGTGCCACTTCATCATTTATTTGGTGGAATAAATCTGGCCCACTGACATATCTATTTTACTCTAAAGAAAAAGTAGGTGAAGCACAAAAATGGAGCTGTTTGCTTTACCCTGTCATCAGGATAAAAACAGTAACCATAGGTTTGACAATATGAAACACTAGCTGCTTAAAAATACGACTCTGGCAAACTGGTCAAAAGGTTTCTAAATGAAGGGCCTCTATACCTTTTGTCTGCCTTCTTCTAAAGCGGCTTCCAGTTGCCGGGCCAGCGCTGAATATTCTGCAGATTTCTCTTTAAGCTTCAGATTGCTGTGCTGAAGACACTCTTCCTGGTTTGCCAGCTTCTGCTCAAGTTCTTTATTCTCTGCATCCATCTGTTCTAATTTTCTTTATGCAGAAAATATATATTTTGAAGTTATGGTGTGTAGAGAAAAAATGTAGCACCAATTTTCATCAATTTAATACTTACTGTTTAAGGCTTTCACACTTCAACTGAATGAGATAATTTTCCTCCTCAAGAGAAAGCTTTGTCAGAAGATTATGATTTCCACCAATCTAAAAGAAAATTTTTTCCTGTTATTTTCTTTATAATCAACTCCAAAGATACCTACATATTTTATCTTTAGAACAACCACAAGGAACAAGGTTATATAAGTATTATTTCTACACAGAAAGATACCAAGAAATGTAACATCGTTAAAATATAATTTCTTAAATTATCGGTTAAGTTTTTCAAAACTATATTATCTACATTGGAAAATCATCCAAAACTTTTTGGATGATCAAAATTTTTTTCTGAGTAATGACAATTAAAATACTCTGAGAAATTCTTTATTGAAAAAGGCTATTTTTTTAAGTTAAAATATGGAATATTTAAAACTATTAATCTATTATTAAATAGGGTTTCTAGAGTTTTGTTTCATTTAAAATTACTGACTGACATTATAAAATGTAAGTAAAAATCATATTCTTTTAAGAAGCAAAATAAAGTAAATTTATGAAAGATACACTTGCCCATGCCAAGAGAGAATATTCTTCCTATTGCTTCAAAAGAGATGCAAAGAGCTAAAGAAGCTTAATAATAATAATAATAATAAATTTTTTAGATTCAAATAGTAATTTAGGTAAATGTATTTAATTTGATATTTTCCTAGAAAAATCTCTTCTCTAATTTAATTTAAGCAAGTTAAATTAACCAAAAGGTTGCCTGCATGTTTTTTAAAAACAAGATATACTTTAAAATAAAGATGTAGATTATATTTGGAAAAAAGAGAAATGAATTCTTCCTAGAACTGGCTTGCAAGTGAAGAAGACATACTTGCTACCATCCTTGGACATACTTCTTTGGGAAAAAAAATTAATTTGAAAGTATTCATTAAGTGCTCCCTATGTTCTAGGCAGTGAAGTAGCACAAAGCTGTGTGACGATTAACAGGACACACCTGAACCCTCTTCTTTTTTTTTAAGGCCAGCTCATCCTGCCCTGGGCGTGGGGCTGGCACAGCATGTGGTGCTGGGGATTGAACTGTGGTCCCCAAGCAGTTGCCTAAGCTTGCCTAAGCAGGCAATTTAGACCACTGAGCTATCTCATCGGCCCCTGAACCCTCTTCTGATGAGTTAAAAATAAAATTGAACAAATGGTTTGAAAATAATCCCAATAGACTTGATGCACAATTCTACTTAAAATACATTCTGATGGGTATAAAGTTACACTAATTCACCTATCCTGACATCCAAAACCACAGGTAATCCCAGCTCTGCTCCTTTTCTCATGCTATCACCAACCCTCCAGTACCTAAATACAGATTTTCAAGAATAAGCTAAAAACCATTTTAATGTCTAGTTTGTCACCATCGAATACTACAAGAGTAGCTTGCAGAACATTATTACGCTATCTGCATGGAAATGTTACATCCACTGATGCAGATGGAAAGAAAGAAAAAGCAACCCCTGACGTGAGTGCCCTCAGCCGGTGAAGTCATTCCAGGCCTTCCTCCAACACATCTTGCAGAACGGAGTGACTGCTGGACACCTGGCCCTGCAGCTCCCTAATGGTGTGCGCCTGCTCTGCGCACTTCGCCTGGTGGTGCCGCAAGTTCTCCTGACACTCCCGAAGCCTCCGTTGGGCCGATGTCAAGGAATCTCGGACTCGCTCTACCTCTTGCAGATGAGACTCCATCTGGCCTCTCATCTGAGTTGTGGCGTTAGGGGAAACAAGTGCACAATCACACATTCAGCATGCAGATTCTTACTACCTTAAATACTCTACACGCTCATTACTTAACAAGTATTTTAGGTCTGACGGTGATAAACAATATTTAACCACATAAATATTAATGAATGTTAATTTAGATTTTGCTACATTAGAATAAGTAACTAAAAGTGGATGGGTCTTTAGTTAGTTTTCAAAAGCTTGTTTAGCAAATAAATACGGTAATTTCAGCTTACAGCATGGGGCAGGAGTACTAAACCTACTTAAGAAAGCAAACTTTTAGAAGTTTTATCACATGCAAGCACAGATGTTACTACTAATGGAGTTGGTATACCTGTTCTCCACTGTCTGTCCTCAGGTCTAACATAACTGTCACCTTTTGTCACTTAATCTTGTAACTCAGATATTGGGAGACATCAGAGCAGCTCTAGTCTAGGCCAAGCGTGTTGGCCCAGATTGGTGGGGTCTGCTATACGCTGTGTCAAGACAGCTGATATCATCAGTTCTCACTGGACGGCATCTCACCACTTTTATCATGAACAAATCTTTCTGATTTTATCCACATTAATCCCCCTGCCTGCTGCAGTTCCTCACTGTGGCACTTTTATAATGTGAACCAAACTCAAGAAATGTTTGTATGGCTAGTTTTTTAAAAAAAGTTAGATGTGATGGTTATTGCGTTCATAAGCAGGAAAAAACAAGGGGGAAGAATCTTTCCCTGAGACAGGGAACACCTACAGTTTCTGCCAATCTTCATCATAAAATATAAAACCAGGACAGAGCGTGTCTCTGTATTTAACAGCCCGTGAGAAAACCGGAAGACTTAAACAACGACCAGGGAAAAATAGAATTTCATTTAAAAATAATTTTTCTGTTCGTAGGCCGGTAAGTAAAACTCGTGATCTCACAATGACTGGAAAACATAGGCTCTGCCCTTTCTGCCTCTGGAGCAGGTTTTTCAAGTGGGATTCTTCTGGTGCTGCCCAGGAGAAGAGGAACGAATGGTGCACTGAAATGGCTCATGAGAAAAGAGGCCGGAAGACATGAAATGGTGTCTTCTCTGCTCTGCTAAGCTAAACATGGGGGAAAATGATGCTCTGGAGGTGATTGGCTGTGCGGTCCCCGGGCGCCTCTCTGCCTCTGGCAGTGCGCCTGCTCTGACGCTGTCTTCCCAGTGAGGCCTCACCCTGACTTTTCAACCCCAAAGATGGGAGCATCCCCGCCATAAGGACCTTACTACTTGCAGTCCGAGTGGACCGCTAACATCCCATGACCCCCCTAGCCAGGGGTCAGCTCCTGACAACTTTTACTGCTTCCTTACCAAAACACGACATTCCAAAAAGGGATGTGGTTTCATTAAAAACTTAAGGATCACAAAAACATGGTCATTCGCCAGTATTGGCCTCACTTTCATTCTGTTGCAACAGGGTGAATGAAAGGAAATGATGGCTTTTTCTTAAGGTATCATTTTTCTTCAAAAATGCTTGTAGCAGAATATTTACTTTGTAATCTTTTACACACCAAAGATTTATAATCAGAAAAAAAGGTGAGTTTGGTTTGTTTATGGCTAATAAAGCTCAATTATAATCATTTTTTAGCTTCAATCTGTTCATCAAAAATCAAACATTTATGCCATTTCTCAAATATTAAAAAAGAAAAAAAATGAAAAAGTATCCATACAAACAACATTTCAAGCCTGGAAGAAACATTACTCTCTCCAAGGGGGGAAAAAAGAACAACTCCTACAGAAATTTCAAATGGGTCATTACTAGGTATGAAATAGAAAAAAGATAACTGAAGTGAAAGAATTTTATAATATTCATAAAATTAAAAAATGATCTTGATATTTTTAACTTACCATCTCTAATCTTTTATTTTTGTTTTCTGTTATTAGGTTATTTTCATGTAGCAATTTTTCATATTTGCTTTTCACCATTTCAGCTGCTTCTTGCAACTTTTGCACCTGAAAATAAAATATATTATTAGAGTACCATGTATTATTTTATCATAAGGACATGATAAAAAACTAAAACAAAAAAACTTAAAACTTAAAAACAAAAATAACTAAAATTAAAAAAACTAAATGAAAAAAGAAAAAAAATATAAAAATTACATTTTGACTTTAATCCTGATTTCCCTACCAATAACATCATGCTTATCTGAAGTTATTCCTTCTTTAAATACTGAATCACTCAGTGCTCTACTCTCATGCACAGTCCTTTTACAGTTGCCAGTTTTCTGCCCTCGATAATTCTGGATTCTTAAGCTCTGGACTATACATCCTCATTTACATGCGAACAGTACTTCAAGAAATCAGTCTCTGACCCAGAACAACTTTCATTCTGGTAATTGTTCCTGCCATTTCAAAATCTCCAAAACCATCTCAGTACTTCAGATAAGTCCTAGATGCTAGAATAGGGGAACCAGCTATAGATTCATGCAGCCGGCTTACACCTCCACAGTCAGTTGAGCCTGTGGATATCAGGTCCAAAGGCTTCCAAGGCTTCCTATTCTTACTTCCCACCTGGTCTAGTCTAATTGGATGTCTCAACTCCATTTTCCTATCAATCTATTCACATAGAGCCCTTTCTTATTTGCCTAGACTGTGCCCCAACTTAAGCTTTTACCCTTAGTTTAGTAATCCTTTTTGATTTTTGGCAGTCTGAGGACTGAATCCCAGGACCTTGTGCATGCTACGGATAGCTATACTACTGAGCTACATCCCCCACCCCATCATTATTCTTTAATTCAAGATTCTCTTCCAATGAAATCAAGATCTTTCATGACCAGTTTGTTTCTCATCATGTATCTGTATAAGCCTTTTTTTTTTCCGTAAGCTTTTCTTGAACATTAAATTTCTAAAACATGTAGCTTTTCTATAAATTGCTGTGAATATATGCTCTATTTTATATGCTGTCATGTTTCCTTTGTGGGTCTTTCACATGAAGAAATCTGAACTATTACTTTCTTTATTGGGGAAGGGGATATACTGGTATTTAATGACCCTAGAAGAGAGTCATTGTTCTAACTCAATACAATTAAGCATAACGGTAACAAAAAGTATAACTTATATTAATAAGATTCTACATTAAGATTTCACATTATATATATGTAATTAGCATGAAATTTAGTTAGGAAGTTCCAATTTATACACAGGAAGGTTTCAGTTGGGAAGTGACAGAATTACCTTTTGATAAAGGTATTTGGGATCTTAGGATAGGTTTGGGGGGCTAGAGATGTAGACCAATGGTAGAGCACTTCTCTAGCATGCACAAGGCCCTGGGTTTGATCCACAGAACTGCAGAAAACAACAAACAAAACAAATGTATGCTTGGGATATATTACATCACAAAATGATAGTCAACCTTTTCCAGTTCTGTTTATTTGGGTCACACACAAATACAATGCCTTAAATTATCTATGAATTTTAACAAACACTAAAATACACGCAGTGGTCACCTGAGTTTTATATATTTCAATAAGGCCTTTCTGTCGTTTTTCTACTTCTTGCAGTTCTGACAGTTCATGTTCAGCAGAAACAACTTCTTCCTTCAAAGCAGTAAGTGTGGTCTACAAAGAAATATGTAATAGATTTTCTAAGTCACTAGAATACATTATACTCCAGTCTTACAGAATTATAAAAATAGAACTCATTGATCAACAAAAGTAATAAAACAATTATTTTTATCACATACACTTACCATCAAAATTTTAAACTTTTTGAAAAGTTAGAGATTAACACTTATGAACAAATTCAATATGATTTACAGAGGAAAAACATTTTTAAAAACTTTTAAATTCACTGACCAAAAAGAACTAGCAAAACAGCCTATGTTCCTAAGTAGGAAGAATCACAATGGTTGTCCTATCAATTATTTCAAAACAATGCAACATTTTACAATTTCAACCCAAAGTATAAAGACCTGCGTGTATATTCATGGAAGAATAGAAAAGAAAAATGTAACTTTGAATAGACTACTAGCCAGAAAATATCAGTGCTTACCAGATCTTAAAAAGTACAGAGAATAAATACTAAGATGATAACATGGATATAAAGGTAGTAGAGAAGAAAAAGGATGTACAAAAATTACACTTAGTACAGTGATACCGCAGTTCGTCAACTAAATTCATTTCACAGTTCTGGAAAAGATGGCCACATTCATGTTCATGCAAAAAGATGGCGAGGGTCCCATTTAGCACCAGATACAGGTTCACAAACAAAAACAAAACTTTGCCAAATACTCCCATTTGTAATCCAAGTTCTTTGCAAACAAAGCTTTTGTAAATTGAGATAACATTGTATATAATAAAAATTAGATTTTTTTGTTTGTATGTGGCACTGGGAATTAAATGCAAGATTCTTGTACCAGGCTATACATTCAGTCCTATCTATCTATCTAATGTCAAGACAAAGTCTCTCTACATTGCTAAGCTACCCAGGCTGGGCTCAAACTCCCTATACTCTTGCCTCAGGCTCCCAAAGTGTTGGGATTACAGACATGCAATACCACACTTAGCTAGTGGTTGGACGTTTAAGTCAACAGAGAAAAAAGAGGTCAGTAAATAAATGAGTACAAAAACTGATTGTTAGAAAAAATAGATTAACTATACCTGCTTCAACCCAATATTAATGAATTAAAAACAAAAATAAATTTAAAAAATTAACAATTTTGAAGAACCAGGCAAAATTGTATTTTATTTTAGAATAACAACAACAACAAAATACTGAGCATAATTTTCTTTAAAAATCAAGACTTTTAAAAGTCTGAGATTTTGCCCCTCACGGGTCTACCATTTAGCCTAACAGAAGACACAGTGCTACAGCATTCTATGAATGTGGTCAAAGACACAGGACTTCATTACACACAAGTACTAGGAGTAACAAGACTGTCACTGTTTGTATCAATCTCTTGAGTCCTAGCAAGGGACAACTGCTTGGGCTGTGGAATGTATGATGAGAATGCAAGCATGAATTTAGGGAGCATAAATCTCTTACAATAGACATTATAAGAATGCCTGCCCTTGGCTCCTAAGGAAAAATCCTTGAAAAGACAGTTCAGATCACAGTAGGTTAGTCCTTCTGCTCTTAAGATGCATAGAACTGTGAGAATCCCAACAGGTACCAATATACATATTTTTCAGAAAAAGACCA